ACGATCACAACAATCATTCATGCACACGTTTAACAAGCATAGATGGATTGACAAGACAAACAGTAGACAGAAGAAGGGTAGAAACTCATCGAATCAGCAGTCAGCGAAGGGAGTACTGTACCATGAGGAAACCATGACGAATACGGATCATGCGTACTCGGTCCCATGCGCCCGGCATATGCGCGGGCAAGGAAACTACCAAAGCGGTGTGAATGATTTTATCAACACAGACTTCGCCACCCCCGGAGTACTTCTACTCCAAGTATGAATCCAACGCTACTCCTCCTTAGCCAACATCCTAAATAACAGGGAGGACATCCCGAGCTCCCTAAACGAACAAGACGCGACGACACAAAGCTGTCTCCCATCCTGGCATCAACCACAAAAGGAGATATGATGGCTCACTCGACAGTCCACCACAAACAACAAGTCTGTATATTAATATTAACACAACAGCATAGCTAACTGGAATCGACTGATGGTAGCCGTCGAGATAGATGGTCCACAAGCTTACAAGATTACCAATATATAAGGATAGCAACCACTGAGCCTTCAGAAAGGATACAACTCGATAAGAGGCTCTACGACGACCATCCTTGATTTCAATCCAGGGAGTTAGTACTCAAATGGTGTGGTAAAGAGCGAAAACTGGCAACGACAATGTTTAGTACGATGAATGTTAACTTGAGGGCGTATGTAGGAAAGCGAGAATAAGAAGACTAGTACGTCGTGCACTGTCCATCCCAGTATGGCAATGATCAGATCGACTTCGGCCTTCCCGCTGCTGCTAGCATGTTCGCTTGGTCTTCGAACTGACAATTAGCCATCACCACAGCTAGTAGTACTACTATAGAAAGCTCCCTACATTCAGGAATGTGTTCTTCACCGACACAGGCACTGCAGCGCTGCCATCTCCTTGGTCGTAGGAACTACCCTTCGGACTGCTAGGATCAACCGAGCCTCCGAAAGCCGCATCACTCGTGCTAGCATTCATCCCCAACATTTGTTGTTGCCAATCAGATAGCCCAGTCAGGTATCGACCTACAATCAAGAGTATCACGATGGCCCCTCAGAGCCCCCACCGCCTACTGGGGTCTTCCAGATGAGCCATGCTGCCCGGTATCACATCGTCTAAGACAGATTTATTGCCACCACCACTGGACGTGTCTTGTGATGGCATTCTTGTAAAAGAGCCGATACCAACAGCAGCAGCATCGCCACCTCCCATAGCCATCCTCGACCCCAGATGAGGACAATGCCCCGTACCTACACACAGTGACATACTGCGACAGATATAACCGAGGAAGTGACAGCGTACATGGCTGAGGGTCCACT